TGATGGTGGTGGTGATCGTGGTGGTGATGATGGTGGTGGTGATGGTGGTGGTGACAGTGGCAGTGGGAAGGAGGATGAGAGCAGCGAATTCTTACAGACTCATTACCCGGTGCTTAGTGAAATCAACACTCTCATCCGGGCCCTGCTCTCCTCCCTCCCAGCAACGGCCGGGCCCGAGATGCGCCATGAGGTGGCCTGGGCCGAGCACCAGGGCCCCCCCCCGGCTCTCACATCCTTGCGCTCTGGGCACTGGCTCTGGAGAGACCGTGGTTTCTGACCCATGGCTCTGGCCTGTGGTTCCCCTGTGACTAGGCACTCTCGGTTCCATCTCAGAAGCACCTGGCTTTGGGAGAGCTGGCCTGAGCTGCAAGAGACGCCCCTGCCAGGCCGCCGAGGGGAGCTCCAGGCAAGGAAGTGGAGCGGCCCCGGGAGGGGGTGGGGGAGGACACCAGCCACCGGGCCGGGCAAACCCAGAACAGGCTGGTGACGGTGACAGCGTTCCTTCCGGTCACAGGGAGGCCTCTGGGAGTCTCCCACCTCATGGGAGAGACAGAGGGTGACAAAGGCAAAATTACTTCCTGCGGTGCCGGGCAGGGCTCACGGGCTCTCCCGTGGGTGAAGGCAATAGGAGGGACGCTGAGCTGGGGTGTGGACGGATCACCCTGAGAGACTGGGGGGCCGGCAGGGAGTCAGGGAGTGAGGGCCAGGCTGCCGCGGGGTGAATCCCGGGGCTCCTCCAAGAACCAGCACAGGACCTCTGGGGGTCACTGAGCAGCCACTGCCCGGAGCACCTCTGCTGCCCTCCTGCCAGCTCGTGGCCACCCGACTCCACCCTAGTGAGGTGCTGGACGGCCTCCTGTCCCCCTGCATGCCACCACCCTGCCCGTCTGGCCAGACTAGCCGCCATGGTCACCCTGCCAGCACCCCGGGCAGGCCAGGCCAAGGGCCGGGTACCGGGCAGGCCCCACAGCGGCTGTGTGCCTGCAGCCAGGGAACGGAGGCTTTAGGGCCAAAGTCCAGAGACCTAGGGAGAGGCTCCTGGCCCAGTTTTCCCTCAGTCGGGGGGCAGCTCTCAGTGGGCAGCTGCCGGGGCCTTGCCTGTCTGGGGCTGTTCTCTCCAGGATCTGCCGGCCTCGCTGACCCGCTGGCACAGGGCTGGCCCCGGAGGGGGCCTGGAGGAGGGAACACCAGCTCAGGAAGGAGGAGGCGGCATGTGGGGGTCAGGACCCGGGATCCCTGGGCGGATTAGTCCTCTCTGAAGGAATCTGCATTTTAGTCTGGGTGTCTGGAAGTTCCCCGGGCCTTCCAGAAATCAGAAAGTAGGCGGGGAAGCCCGCGGGGAGCAAGTGGGTGGGGCTGGGCTGGGAGTGGGCAGGTCTGCCCGGTGAGGTCCTGAACAGACACCCTTTGAGATGCAAACAACCTCCGGTCAGCTGACTCTTCTCTCAATACCCTCCCTCCTGGAGAAAGGGCTTTAAAAATGGCTTCCGTGCTCACTTAAGAAGTACCGGGCAAGGGGCAGGTTGGGGCCCAGGCTGAGAGAAAGCAGGGCGGGCCGCCCTTCTCCCTAGCGCTCTCCCCTCTCAGCTCGGTGCCGCTGCCCCCACCGTGGGAGCTGCAGGGTGGTCCTCGGGGCCCCAACCCCGCCCACAGCACACACCCACCGCTGCATCCCCGCCCCCGCAAGCCCAGCGTGTCCTCAGGTGTATCTGTCCGCCCACGGCAAACTGCTGCTGATACCTGGGAGTTCCCCGGAAGCCCCCTTCCTCACCTCAACCCCGGCACCTCTCGGAGGGCCCCCTTCTGTGCACTCCCACACCCACCTCTCCAGCCCCGCCAACAAGCCGCCAGACTTGTGCTGCCCAAGTGGCCTCGTGGGGCCCCTTCTCCCTCTGGTGGACGCTTGCTGGCCCAAGCATCGCGGCCCCGGGCCCTCTGCACACGGTGCCCCGTGCACACAATGACACGGCCCACGCGGAGTGCCCCCACCAGCTCCGAGCTGACCCGAATCCCCGCTCCCCGGTGCTGTGTGTCCCCAGTGCCCAGGAAGGGCGACGCCCAGCAGGCATCTCCGGCACGCTGGCGCCTGTGCTGAGCGGGTGGGCAGCCTCTGGCCAGTCCCCCTCCCAGTGCCTGCAGGGGTCCCTGTTGCCTGGCCTTTCTGCTCCAAAGTCAGCCCCGCCCAGCCCATCTCTGGAGAGAGGAGGCTGCAAAAGGCCTGGGGTGCAGACTGCAGTCAGGCCCCCTGGGGTCCGGCAGTCACGGGGAGGGAGCGGCTGGGCTGACCCTGGAGAGGTGTCAGGTGCCCGAGGCCTCCTGGTGGGGTCCCTCTCTCCGCTGGGGAGGTCGGGTGTCTGCTGGAACCCAGGCCTTGCAGGCGACAGGCTCTCGCTCTGCTCTCAGGCCTCCCCGGGGGCTGCTTGGGGCCGGACTCTGGCTCATGGGGCCTTGATCCCCAGCCCCGTACAATGCTGGGCGGTGGAGCCCTGAGAGGTCTCCGCGGGCGCCTGGCTCCGCCTGGGCTCCTCTCAGCCGGCTCCCCGCGCCGCGCGGCCGCCGGAGGGCGAGGCCGAGCGGCGCCGCGGCGGCCCCACTGTCCGCGGCGGCGCCAAGGGTGGCGGCCCCGGCGCAGGTCCGAGCCGGGCGGGCCCTGGACGGCTCGGAGGGGCGGGGCCGGCCGGTGGCGGCGGACGGGTAGTCAGGACAACCGACCGCCTGCTGGTCTCCAGTGCCCAGCCGAGCGCAGCGAGCCCGGCTCAGGGGACCCGGGCGGGACGCGCTCGGGACAAGGTCACTGCAGCAGTGACCTGGGGGCGGCCCGCGGGGTCCCGAGCCGCGAGCGGGACGCGCAAGTGCTCAGGAAAGTCGAGAGCTGGTACTGGGCTGAAGGCGTGTGGGAGCGGGGCCCGGGCGGGGGTCCGGCGTCCGCTTGTCCCCTCCACCTCCCACTCCCCCCATCAGCGGCCCGGCTGCGTGCGCCGGGGAGCCCCAGTCTCGCTCGGGGAAGGGAATCCTTTCCATTGTGAACTGGCCGCGTGGCTCCCTGGCCCTTCCGGCGGCACCAGGGGTCGCACGGAACCCAACGTTTCCCCGGCTCCCCGGGGTCACGCGACCTACACTTGTGGACTGATCACCCTCCCTAACCCCGCTGCGGGTAGCCCGGAGCCGAGTACGCGCACTCTCGTCACCCAGCGAGGCGCCGAGCACACGGGGGGTCGTCAAGTGCCCCACGGGGGTCGTCAAGTGCCCCCCCCCCAAGGCGGCGAGGTCGAGACTGGGCCGCTGCGGCGGGCCCGCCGGTGTCCCCTCGGCGCCCCGCGTCTCCGCGGCCCGACCCCGCTGGGCTTCCTGCTCGCGCCGCCGGGACTTCCTCCCCGCAGTGCCCGGGTGGCCACCCGGGCGCCAGACCCGGAGGCGGGGAACCCGGGGACACGGGCAGGGCGGGGGGGGGGGGCTGGGGCGAGGAGAGGGGAAGACACCCTGGAGCCGGGAGGGGCAGGCGCCCCGCGTGGACCCCCGGCTGGAGAGGAGGGGGTCCTTGGACCCGGGGCCGGGGCAGTTCTCCAGGCTCCGGCTCTCAGGTCCTCTCCGCGGGCGCTCGCGGCCAGCGTCGCCGGGGGTGGAGCGCGGCCCTGCCCCATCCTGCCCCATCCTGCCCGTTCGGTGGGGCTCCGCAGTGCGTCTCCACGGCGAGTGTGGACGCCGCACGGCCTGGCGCGCGTCTGTGGGCGCGGGTGCCCCGCGCGCCCCTCCCGGCGCCCCCGGCCCGCTCGCGGAGGCCGCCCCGAGCGGAGCTTTGTGACGTCAGGCGGCCGGCGGGCCGCGTCACGCGCGGGGCTGACCCGGCGCGGGGCGGGGGCCGGGCCGGGACGCGGAGCATGGAGCCGCGGGCCGGCTGCCGGCTGCCCGTGCGGGTGGAGCAGGTCGTCAACGGCGCGCTGCTGGTCACCGTGAGCTGCGGCGAGCGCAGCTTCGCCGGGATCCTGCTGGACTGCACGAAAAAGTGAGCGGGGGCGGGGGCGCGGGCCCCGGGACGCCCCCGGAATCCCCTCGGGACAACCCCCACCCCGCGCGCGCGCTGGCCCAGGGCCGGGGCTGCTCCGGGGCGGGGCAGCGTGGCGCCGGCGCCCGCTTTCGGTTTCTCCAGCCCCGGGTTCGGGGTGCGCGAGCGCGGCCGCCACTCGGGGGGGAAAAGTGGTTCTCAAAGTCGTCGCGACTTTTCGGGCAGGGGACGGCGCAGCCGGGCGAGAACAGCGGTGGGCGCCGAGCCGGAGCCTGGGCGCGGCGCGTGGAGCCCGAGACCCCGCGCCCACTGCCGCGCCGCCCGGCTCCGAACTCCGCACGTCTGCCATAATTAACGCACTTTTCTTTGTTCAGACTCACTGTTGAATTCGGCTGTCTTCAGAATTGTCATCCGCCGGGGTGGGGGCAGTGGGTTCAGATGCGCTGCCGCGCTTGCCCTGTCAGTTACTCACGAGGGGGGGGCGGTGTGTAATGTAATGCCCCCCCCAGGAGAAGTCGGGGCTGAGGTGGTAAGGATTGCTAGCTAGCAGTTGTGTCCAGCGGCGGGATTTAAAAACACTGTTTCGGGCTGAGGAGCCCTAGGCAGAACAGGAATGAAAAGATACAAGTTTCAGAGCTGTGCTGAGCTCCCTTCGGGAGCCGGGATCCTCTGCTGGAGGGGTCCCTGGGCAGGCCTGGGGGCAAATCCATCCTGAGAGGCACCTGTGTGCCGGCTGCAGGGATCCCTGCAGCGGGAAAGAGTCTCCTGGATACAGTGTCACATGGTAGTGAGCTGTCGCGCAGATAAATGATTAGGCATTAATCAGGCACTAATGTCTTGAGGCTCAGGCTGGGCCTTATTTTGAACCGGGAGCAGTAAACGGCTCCCCTTTGCAAAGGCCCAACTTTTTCCCTCAGTGGAGCCCAGATTTTGTGCCGGCGGCGGGGGTGTGGCAGGAGGACCATCCCCTCTCAGCGGCCACTCTGCTGGCATCATCTCCTCGTTAGATGTGCCAGAGCCATTTATGTGCAAGTCACGTGATTTAACATATGGCGTCCCAGGTGACTGTCGCCCTGCTCCGCGCTGGCTGCTGCAGGGTGCTTGGTGGGACCTAGTGACCCTCCGGGGCTGCAGCATAGCCGCTTGGAAGCCGCCAAGCCTGTCCCTCGGGGCGGCTGAGGGTCCTCTGCCACCAATGCCCACCACTTCCTCCGCCGGCCTGCTCCTGGGTCTGTGCAGGGCTGCACCCCAGCGCTGCCTGTGCAGCCCTGCCTGGCCTTTCCTCCCTGAGAGGGGCCCTGGCAGGAGAGGTCCCCCCACTCTTCGTTTTCTGGGCTCCCTGACTCAGGGCAAGGGAGGCTGGGGGTGTCGGCAGAGGCTGCCGGCCCCCCGCCCTTGGTCTCTGCCTCCAGGCAGGGCTCCCGTCCCTACAGCCCGTGGCTAACCTGATGTGGAGATCTGCACCCCCCCACCCGCTTCCCCACCCCCTCGTGGAAGGAAGCAGGCTCTGCTGGGATCCCATCATGGGAACTGGCAGCTGTAGGACGTGTGGGCGGCAACCCTGCCATGGCCACATAAGGCTGTAACCGGAGCCGCCCACAGAACCAGGAGCTGGGCCTCGGTGGGCACAGCTCTGCTCTGCAGCTCCTCTTTCTGACTTGAGTGGGCTCCCCCCGCCCGCCCCCGGTCCCTGAAGAGAACCTGAGGAGAGACCTGGCCTCTCCCAACCCCTCCGGTGTCTGGGCTTGGCCCCGAAGCTGCCCCTGTCCCTGCCCACCCCACCTCCCCTCTGCGGGTCGCCTCCAGTTTCATCCCGATCCCAGTTTTCTACCATGATATCATGAGTTGCAACGCTCGTGTTTACAGCCGGCTTGTCGGACAGGGTCCAGAGGCAGCTTACGACCTGGCCTGGGTGTTTCTGGCAGAGGGGCCCGGCCTCGAGCCTCGGGGGTCCGCAGCACCGACCTGCCTCCCCTGGGGCCGGTCTCTCCTCAGGGCCCACTCCCCTTACCCCATACGTCACGGTGGCAGGGCCGGTCAGTGAGGCCCCATCCTGGGTGTGGGCACTGACAGGCGGGCAGAGCAGCTGGAGGCTCAGATTGCAGGCGCCTGCCCACCTCCTGGGGCCTTTGGGTCCCAGGGCAGCAGGCCGGTGTGCCTGTGGTGCCCCAGCTGGGCGCAGACCAGTCACTGCCACATGTCAGCACTTCTCGAGCTCGTGGGCAGCCCCCGGGGGCCTAGGAGAACAGAGGGGTCCCCCGGGAGGGGCAGTTCACGCAGCGGGGCCCAGCAAGCAGTGTTAATTTGGGGGCACTGGGGCGGCAGCACCCCTCCCTTGGTGCTCTGGGAGCTCTGGGCTGAACGTCTGTCTGTCCATGGAGGCCATGCCGAGCCGTGAACCTGCTGGCAGGCTGCTGTGTGGCCTGAAGCAAGGTCCTTGGCTGCTCTGAGTGCCTGTGGCTCCTGCATCCACATTCATTCACTGAGCACCTACTGTGTGCTGGGGAGTGGCCTTAAGTCCCTGGCATAACTGCTGTGGTGCACGGTCCTCAAGTATCTCTGGCGGGCGGTGTTCGTTCTGACACATAACGATGGCCCCGGCCTACCCTGACCCCACAGCTCCACTCTCCAGGCTGGGGTGCGGGGGAGGCCTCTTGTGGGTGATTTGGGGGTGGACCTTTGCTTGAGAACCTCAGGTGGGGTGGCCCAAAGACAGCAAAGTCGCCGAGTGCTGAAGGGACGGTCTCCCGGTCGGTGGGCACGAGGGCCAGCTGCCTGTCCGGCCTGGCCAATCCGAAGCCTCCGGCCTTGACCTCTAAGTGCGCGTTTCGTAAACTTCCCCAGCGTGAGTCACCCAGGGTGCCGTTATCACACAGGACTCCGGGGCCCCTCTACTGCAAAGGTTGGGTACGGGCCTTTGGGACCCACACCCGCCCGGGGGGCTTGGGACCCAGGCTTCTGGACACTCAGCTGGCCAAGAATCCCAGCCACGGCCCGTCCTGGGCAGGAGAGCGCCCCTGCTCCATCCCGGACACACCCCCTGTCCAGGCCCCACTGGGCTCGTCCTCCCTGCCCTTGGGGAGCCGGAGGGACTGAGAGTACGCAGTGCATCACAGGGTGGTATGACCTGCAGCCAGTGGGCAGGGGCCTCACCAAGGGACCTGGCCGGCACGGCTGGTCTCTGGAGCTGCTCCATGGAGGGGGTGGGGGCGTGGGCTGGGGGCCTGGCCTTGTGCTCCTGGGAGGAGGGGCGCAGTCACCTGAGTCTTATTGGAATGATGTTGATGGTTCTTCAGCCTTTGGTCCAGGACTCTGGGGGCCAGCTGTGGCCGAGACCCTAGGTTGATACCCACGGGGGAGGGGCAGGGTCCCACGTGTGGCCCTGGACGAGGGGCCACTCTGGCGTCCAGGCTGCAAGTCCCCGTGTCATCCTGCTTTCCCCAGCTCCCTGAGCAGAGGTGGACCTCCGTGCACAGCAGCCTGACACCCACCTGCCCCTCCCCTCCCTCGGGGCTCCAGCCCTGCGGCTGTCTGTCGGCAGGGCTTTGGGAGAGAGAAACTGCGTACAGCCTGGCCAGCCGCAGGGTGGGCCTCGTCTCGGGACCCGGGCCTGTCATGGGACTGACTGCAGGCTCTGCCCACAAGGTACCTGCCGCACGAGGCTGCCCTAGGCACCTGGCCCTGGGCTTTGGCCCCCAGGATGTTTCTGTTCCGGAGCCACGTCTTCTCACCTCTTTACAGGACACCGGGGTGGCCTCTCCCCGTGGGAGGATGAAGAAGGAAGGTCCAGGGCAGATGGGGACCTGGCCGGGGCCAGAGGCTGCCAGTGGGCACCAGAGATGCTTGGGCCCCAGGCCTGCCGAGCTGGGAGGGTGGGGGTGGGGAGGCCACAAGCTCTGGCAGGCGGCAGGGCCCCTCCTAGCCGTGGACCCGCCCAGGCCCGCTGCTCTCGGAGGGGCGCTAGTCTGGAGGCACAAACGAGCCCCAGGGACGTGTGGGAGCCGAGGCTTGGCCACTGGTGTCCCACGGAGGACTGCAGACCAGGCCGCTTCTCTCTGGGTCCCTGTGTCCATGCCGGTGGCCGTGCCCTCACCTGGGCAGAGCGGTGGGTGACCCTGGGGACTCTGTCTCCCGTCCCCTTGGGGGCAGAACCGCTCTGCTTTGGGGTCTGATCCCTGTAAGCCTCCTGGCTGAAGCTCCCTGTGCGAACTTCTCACCCGGGCTCGGTCTCCCCAGCCTCTCCTCAAAGCGCAGGCCACCTGCCCTCCCCTAGCTCCCCAAGGACGCAGTGCTGAGGTTTGCTCAGGGCCCCTCGGGTTTCTGCGTGGGCACGTTGGCTGGCCTTGCGCTCCCGGTCGAGGCTGAGCCAGGCCCTGGCTCCGCCCGTGAGTCACCCCTGCGGGGCCCCGTGAGTCCAGACCTTCCGCACCGCAGAGGGCAGGACAGTGCAGTCGCCTGGGTCCCTCACCCTGAGCCTGGCAGGCCATCTCTCTGGCTCCAGGGCCACCCCAGCCCTCTGCCTGCCAGGGCCCTGCAGTATCACGTGTGGGGCTCTGCCAGGCCAGCCAGGGCCTCTGTCCCTGGGTGTAGGCCCACGTGGGCACAGCCCAGCTTCTCCGAGGGGCCCGGCTTCTCCGAGGGGCCCGGCCCCGTGGCCAACCCACAGGCCGCGATAGCGCCACACCTTGTGCCTGGGGGTCCAGCATGCCCCCCTCGGCGGACAGGTTGCCGAGGTCCTTCCCAGAGAGAGTGGCCTTGGCTGGTGCCATCCCCGCGCCCAGAGGCAGCAGAGCTGGGGCACGAGCACGGACCCCGCCCGTCCCCCGACCCGCTGGTCTCCCTCGGCTTCGCTGTCCCATCCGAGAAATGGGAACGATGATGACGGCGCCTCATGGGGCTGTAGACAGAGAACCTGCTCGTGGTCTGCAGCCCGGCAGCCAGGGTCCCGCTGGCCCTGTTTACCCACCGGCAGGCGTGGGTGTGGCCTGGGCAGGGCAGCAGCTCTGGGAAGGAAGTGTCCGAGTCACGGGGCCCGCCATGGCAGCCGCGGTGCCATTCCACCGGGCCGTCTGCAAGGAACCTCCCCCTCTAGGCTGCAGCCCACAGCCCTGTGGGCAGAGGGGGCATGCATACCAGGGCACTGCTCACAGCAGAGGCTGCCTCCCAGTTTGATCTGCCTGGGCAGGGCGGCGTCGACTGCCAGACCCTGTCTGCGTCTGGCGGGTGCAGACCCGGCCCACCCAGGGGCCCACAGCTTAGCGCTGTGGCTCAGGTCAGGGCCTGGGTCTCTGGCCGTCCTGAACATGCAGAGACCCCCTGAGGGCTGTGTGTGATCAGTGGGGCAAAAAGCTCCCTGAATGAGCCACAGCTGCAGAGTCTTCAGGGCCACCTGTCCCCAGCCTGTGTGCGCAGAGAGGTGGCCAAGGAGACTGCAGAGCCCCCCGGGCCGGCTGGCCGAGGGCACAGTCCAAGCCTAGGAGGGTCCTGGAGGGCAGCTAGGTTGGGGGGTGGGGGATGATGGGAAAGGGGCTGCCCAGGGGTCCTGCTCCTGGGGTCCCTGGGCCCCAGCTGGCAGGAGGGGCTCTGCACCAGCACAGGCAGGCTGACTGGGGGCACAGGCCAGGCTACGGGGGGGCAGTGAGGAACAGAGCCCTAGGAGGGAATACAGGCTGGGTCCTAGTGGGGTGACAGCCCAGGGGCCTGGGAAGGTGGGACGGGGTGCAGATGAGAGGGGGGTGTCAGAGTGAGCCCCCAGTTCATGGCCTGGGTGCCTGTGAATGGTGGGCAGGAAGTGGGTTTTGGGGAGGCCTTGGGAGAAACCCTCCAGCCCCAGATATGTGGATCCAGCCTGGTGTGTGGGCCCCCTGGTGCATGTGTGTGCACACGTGTGTGGATGCACGCTTGCATGCATGTGCCTGGGTTTAGTTTGCCAAATTCTCAGCCTGTTCTGAATGCCCACGAGGGGCTTGTTGAAGGGAATGAGCCAGGTGCGGGGTCCAGTGCCCGCTCTGATGCCTGGGACTCGGGTGAGGTTTGGTGACACACCAGCCTGTCACGCCCCTGGGTGGGGGCTTGTCGCCCACACCTGGGCACAGGCAGACTTTTTCCGTGAAGGGCTGGTGGCCATGCGGTGTCTGTCACAGGTGCTCAGCAGTGCCGCAGGGGCCCTGCACGGGCAGCGGGCGTGGCTGTGTGTCAGTCACACCTGACTTACAAAACCTGGTGGCTGACTTGGCCTGGGGGCCGTGAGGTGTGGAGCCTCTGTGCCCAGTGTCCGACCCGGGGCTGGTGAGAAGGCGGCTGACAGTCAGGGCATGATCCTGGGACCCCCTTTCCCACCCCTGTTCCCCTGAAAGTCTCCGCCCATCCTGGTTTGGAAGTCATACATGCCTGCTTCCCGTGGTGGCTGCAGGAGCCGTGAGACACGCCGCGTGCGGCCACCGCTGACAGACGTGGTCTGTGGTTCTTGTTGTTGCCGTTGGTCGGCTGGGACTTGGGGGCCTGTGGCTGCGGGGCCGCAGTGGGTGCCAGTCTGGTGGGAACGGCTTGGTCCTTCCAGGGAGAGGGGCCCTTGAAGAGCCACATGCCCACGGGTGATGGGGAGCGGGGGAGGGGAGGGATCGCAAGGGCTGCCCCCCACCCAGCGCAGAATCCCACCTCACAGGGGGCCAAGTCCCCTACTGCTGGCTGGTGGCTGGACGCTCCCCCCTAGGCTACTGCCATCTCTCTTTCTCTCTCTCTTTCTGTACTCCTCCCCCTCCCCTCTTCTCCCTCAGTCATGGTCACAGGTCACAGGTCAGCCATCTGAATGAGCTGCATCCTCCATGGCCAAGCAGAGGGCAGGTGGCCGTGGCCCTGGTTTGCTGGACCCTGTAGACGCAGAAGTCATTTTTGAGAAATGACTTTGAGAAACAGCAAAGCTCACTTATCTTTTCTCCTCTGATTGAATTACAAAAGGGAGGGAAACACTGAGGTACAATATTCTAATCCTCGTTTCTCTTAACTTGGCTAAAAGTCTGTTCTGTGCTTTAAAAAAAGTGAAAACTAACAGCTTTTAGCTAAAGCAGTTCTTACAAATTAAATCGCATGTGTTTAAATTTATGTGTCACCGCCGAAGAAAGGTGTAGCCTGTTTAGCCTTGGTTTTCCTTACTTGGAGCAAATATGTTTTCCTGTGGCTCCCAGAGCAGCTTGCTGGTCAGATGTGACTTCCCGACATTCCCAGCGCGGGGCCTGGGGGATGGCGGTCATTGGCTCTAGAAGGGCGCTACTCCCAAGCCATTTGATGCCGGGACACCTGAGTGGAGGCTGCCGGCCCCGAGCTTCCCGGGGAGAGAGACCCGCCTGGGGGGCCCCGGAGGTGCCGGCCACACGCTCAGGCTCAGCTGTGGGTCCTCACGGGAGGGGGGCCTCCTGCTTTCTCTGGCCCCTTCCCACGGGTCATGTGGCCTTATCGGTGCCACCTGGCCCTCTGTGTCCTGGAGCTGGAGGTCCTGAGGGAAGGGGCCGGGAGTGCTCGCAGGAGGGGTGGTCCTTCCAGGTCGTGGTGGGCAGGGGCAGCCTGAGTGATGCCCTCACCTGAGAGCCGTGGAAACAGGTGGGCCCAACTCAGCATTCAGGAGGGAGCGGGCTCAGTTTGGTGGCTGACCCCTGTCCTTGCTGGGCCTGGCCACGAGTGGCCCCCACCCCCAGACACACGTCCGGCACCCGGGACCCCGGTCCTGTGGGCTGTCCTGGGACTGGGGGTCCTCCCAGGGACACACGTGGGGTCTTCCCTCTGGGAGTGCTTCCCTCAGGGAGGAGGGGCCTGAGTGGGTGAGGCCTGTGAGTAAGGGCCGCTGGCCACACAGCAGCCGGCCCCCCGCAGGCCAGGTCAGGCCCGTCCCAGGAGCCAGACCCCGTCCCCAGGCTTCTTGGGCCCCAGGCCTGCACTGGGTCCCGGGAGGCCTCCAGCTTCGAGTCCGCGTTCGCCTTGTTGCCACGAAGTATGGTGTGGGTGCTCGGTGCTTGTCGGGCCATCGGTCTCCATGCGGGCGGGTAGCGTGACTTCAGAGCACAGCGGGCAGCTGGGATGCCCCCGGGGCATGTGCTGGGCATGCTTGCCTCTGTTAAAGCCCGGAGATCCTGCCGGGCCCTCCGGAGTGGGGTCTGCTCACGGCGGCGTCCTCTCTGTCCTGACCGCCCCTTTCTGTCTCCCCACCACCAGGTCCGGCCTCTTCGGCCTGCCCCCGTCAGCTCCGCCGCCCCAGGCCCAGGACCCGCCTGTCAACGGCTGCCACGGGCCGGCCCCCACGGAGGGCGACACAGAGGCGATGCAGCTGGGGACAGGCCACCCGCCACCTCCCAGTGGGGACCAGGCCCCGGGGACCGCCAGCCCCGAGCCGCCCCCGCTGCCCGCCGGAAGCCTGCCCCCGTTCCCGCCCTATTTTGAAGGCGCCCCCTTCCCTCCCCCGCTCTGGCTGAGGAACACGTACCGGCAGTGGGTGCCGCAGCCGCCCCCCCGGGGCATCAAGAGGACACGGAGGCGCCTGTCCCGCAACCGCGACCCTGGCCACCTGGCCCTGAGTCCCATCCGCCTGCGGCCCCGCCAGGTGCTCTGCGAGAAGTGCAAGAGCACCCTGAGCCCCCCAGAGGCCAGCCCCGGCCCCCCGGCCCCCCCCCAGCCGCGCAGGGAGCCCCGAAAGCCCGAGGACCCCAACGGTGGGGGTGACACCACCGCCAAGAGGAGGAAGAGGGAGAGGCGGCAGGAGGCGCGGGCCCGGGTCCCCCGGAGCCCGGTCATCAAGATCTCCTACAGCACGCCCCAGGGCACCGGCGAGGTGGTGGAGATCCCCTCCCGCGTGCACGGCTCGCTGGAGCCCTTCTGCCCCCCGCAGGCCCCGCCCGGAGGCCCGGACCCCGAGGCGCCCGCCTCCATCCCCAAGCTGAAGCTGACGCGGCCCCTGCCCCCCAGCGCTGCCCCGCCGCCCCCCAAGATCCGCCTGAAGCCCCACCGCCCAGGGGCTGGCGAGCAGGAGCCCGTCTACAAGGCAGAGTTGGTGGAGGAGCTCAAGGGCTGTGGCCGCGGCCCCCGGGCCGGCTCACCCACGCCCCTGGCTGATGGCTCTGCCCGCTCTGGGCTGGCGGACTCGTCTTCTGGAAGTTCCGGCGAGGACGACGACTGCAAGGGGTGTCCCCGAGGTGAACACGGGCGTGACGGCCTGGCTTTTCTCGCCGCCTGCCCCCGGAGAACTGGCTGTGCCAGCGTGTCGGTGTGGAGCAGCGACAGCCTGGACGAGTCCAAATCGTCCAGCTCGGAAGTGACGTCACCAGACATGTGTGACCTCTCGTCTGGCGACGGTGCGTCTGTGCAGGCCTCGTCCAAGGACGCGCGGCCGACGGTCCCACCCCTGACGGTCAGGCTGCACACGCAGAGCGTCTCCAAGTGCGTTACCGAGGATGGAAGGACCGTGGCCGTAGGGGACATCGTGTGGGGTAAGGTTCATGGTTTTCCCTGGTGGCCAGCACGTGTCCTGGACATCAGTCTTAGCCAGAAGGAGGACGGCGAGCCCTCCTGGCAAGAAGCGAAAGTCTCATGGTTTGGTTCTCCAACTACATCGTTCTTGTCAATTTCAAAACTCTCCCCTTTCTCTGAATTTTTCAAACTGAGATTTAACCGTAAGAAGAAGGGGATGTATCGGAAAGCTATAACAGAGGCTGCCAATGCTGCCCAACACGTGGCCCCGGAAATAAGGGAGCTCTTAACCCAGTTTGAAACGTAACTCGGGTTCCGACCAGGTGAGTGTGTGCGTGGAGGGCGGCCTCTCCCCGGCCGTCCCGAGCCCGTGTCTGCATCTGGGCTGTCCCTCCGCCCTGGGCCTTGGTGAGCCAGGGGGACGCGGACGCCCCTGGCCATCTGGCTCGCTGCTCCGAAGGGGGCCGTCTGGACAATCGCCCCGCTTGCTGGCAACATTGTCCAGCTTTTCGATTCACAGAAGAGGTGCTTTAAAAGCAGGCGAGTCGTCAGCCACCTGTTCAGAGAACAGAGCTAGTTTGTGTTTTGCGGCCATTTTGCAAAGGACCGTAAAAGGTCTCCTTGCTCTTTTCGTTTACCTTTGGAGAAAGGAGAGGGTTTTAAAGGTGGTGGCTTTGACTGAGGGGGTGGTGGTGAGCGCAGGGAGGGGCTTCCTCTGTTACTCTTCCCAGGCTGCAGCCAGGGCCTCCCTCCCTCCCCTCCCCAACCTCCTGCTCGCAGGTGCGTCCAGGGGTCTGACTTTGCCGGAAGGAAGAAAGTCACCGAGCTGCCTGCCCTCAGAGGTAGCGCCTACGGCCCGGCGCTGCTCTGCTGCTGCCAGTGGGGGCTCCCCTCCGTCAGCCGGCACGTGGGTCCTGGACATTGGTGCCCGGGGGCTCCAGGCTCCCGGTGGCGGGGCCGGTGCTCTGGGATCTGTCCCTGGGCCAGTGCCTCGCCCTCCGTCTCTGCCCCCAGGAGACCTTTGTAGGACCTCCAGCCACAGGCCTTATGGAGCCTCTGTGGGGTTGGGGGTGTCACCACCTGGGGTTGGAAACATGACCTTGTGCAGTTGCCGTGTCACCAGGTGGGGTGGGGCATCACCGTGTGGCGTGTCTGGCAGGTGTCCGGAAACGGCCGAGGGGCTGAGGGCGTCTGCCGTGAGCTTCCCCTGGGCCCCGAGGTGCAGGGAGACGTGGGTGTGCTCTCATCTGATGGCTGCCACCAGCTCTGGCCTGGGCAGCGGGGCGTGTCCCGCGGGTCACTGGCGCTGGTGGCCACTCTTCCCAGGTCTGACTGCCCCCTCTGTCCTCCCCTGGTTGGTCCCGGGCAGGCCATGGTCCCCCGAGGCTCCAGGCCGCCTGGGTGGACCAAAGGGGACATGACAGGGTCCCCTGTGAGGGGCAGCCTGTGGGGTCAGTGCTCTTCCTGGCCTAGGGGTCTCGTGCTCACGCCCACAGAAGCAGACGGCATGGCACGGGGCTGGCCCGGAGGACGAGCTGGGCCTCTGCCTTCACCTCCGGACCCTGGGGTGACCTTGTGTGGCCTGGCTGCCCTGCTCACCCACCTGTCTGTGCCGGTTTCCCGGGTGACGTGAGTTTTCAGGGCTGGGCAAGTCCAGCTCACGTGGCTGGAGAGGGGCTTTGTGGAGTGCTGGTGCCCGCTCCCTGCTGTGCCGGGTCCAGCAGGGTCCTGGGACTGAAGAAGCAGTGATGAGGGGCACGTCTGGGCTGGGGTCCCTGCCGGGGCTCCTGAGGCCTTGTCCCCACCCCTCCCCCACCTGCTTCCCACGTCACCTCCTGCATGGCTCCCCGGATTCCGGGCACGAACTTCTCCTGTTGGGAACCAGGCACATCCCCCATCAGTTCTGGCCTTCGTGTTGGGGCATGGGCGCGGCACCGACCTGGGGGCATCCAGGCAGCTAGGGTCTCAGGTGAGAGCGGCCAGCTCACCTGAGGGGCAGCGGTCCAGAGAAAGTCCAGATGCCCTGGCATCGGGCTTCCTAGGGCATCTCCCTGCTGTGGCCAGGCTTAGGGACAGCCCTGGCTGCGGCCACGTCCCGCTGGCCTGCGGACCACCGGGGCTGGGGGGGGGGCCCTGCCTCTCTCTGTGCCCTTCCGCTCCTGGCCCCGCCCCTCTGCTCACAGGGCCCAGCCCGTCTTTGGCCTGGTGTCAGGCAGCTTGCCCACGTGCCCCTGCTGCGGGCAGAGACAGCCCCGTGGGTTCAGGGCTCTGTGTATCAGGAAGCAGAGGAGGAATCTCGCCGGACGGGTTTGCCTGCTGCGGGGGCCTGTGCCCCCCGCCCCCGCGGGGTGTGGAGCTTTGGGAGCATGGCGGGGCGGCCTGGATCCTCTCGGTGCCAAAGCACCAAGTGGTTTTGGCTCATGGGCTTTTGGGTTTTGTTTCTTGAGGCTTAAAGACTGAGCTGAGGTTTGTGCCAGCCAGGTGGCTGGTCTGCTGGCGTCAGCAAGCCTGGGCCTCGTGCTCAGGTGGGGTCCGCGGTCTCCTGGTGGACAAGTTTGCTTTCAGGTGTCAAGTGTCTGGGGAGCAGCCATCCAGGCTGCTCCTTGAAGGGGACGCAGGGGACTGCCCTCACCGGGGAAGGTGGGCTTCCCCAGACAAGCTGAGGGCTGCGGGGCTGGTGCAGGAGGAGGGTCCTGGCAGAGCTTGGGTGAGATGCTTGCTGGTGGCAGTGCCCCGTGGTGGTGCTGACGTAGGGGCCAGGGTCACCAGCACCCCGGCGCGTCCTGGCAGGAGGAGGGACCTCCCGGCGGGCGTGGGCCCCCCGGGCCCCCCACGGGAGGGCTGGGAGGCTGGCACAGGGCCCTGGAGCTCGGCCGGGAGGCCTGCTGGGGAAGGTGGTTCTCCCGGCCCCACCCACCGGCCACCCCGGCCTGGCCCAGCTGACCCTGCAGCCACCTGAGGACGGCTGAGGCGGTGCCAGGGACTCCTTGGGATTTGGGCTGTCCGTGCTGCCTGCAGGTGTGTCAGGAGAGTCTCAGCAGATGTGGGGCTGGGCCCCTTCCAGGGGTGTGTGCCCAGCACCTCTTCCCTGAGAGACTCTGCCCCCTTTGCAGGGCTGCTGGAGGCTCGGCTGAGAGGTGGGTGCCCATGCGGACGTTGTGAGAGTTGCGGAGCCGGCCTGGGGCCTGGCGGCCAGGGCGCTGGGGAGAGGCCAGTGGGGCCTGGCTGGGCACAGGGGCTCTGAGCAGGCACCGCCCCCAGGGTGCTTGTGTGCCCCATTGGGGCGCATCTCCCGAGGGCTCCGGGCCCTGCCCTGGCCCCAGCAGGCTGGCGACTCTGAGCCCCCGTTTCCCCATCTGTCTCCCAGGTAGGGGGGGAGTGAGGGGACTTGTCTGCAGCCGGCTTTCCAGCTCTGCTTTCCCGGGAGTCCTCCCATGTCCCTCTGGGGTGGGGCTGGGGTCGTGCTCCTGACTGGATGGGCTGGGCAACTCCTGCTGCCCACTGGTCAGGGGGGCGAGTGTCCTGCAGGTGGGACAGGGATGCCCTGAGTGCGGGGCTGGCCCCCCAACCTGACAGGTGACAGCGACTCCTCCCGGGGGTGGTGTGACCCCAGGCCTCTTCCTCTCAGACCCGGCTACGTGCCTCTTCTCTCCCCACCCACCCACCCACCCACCCACCAAGGGGTCGGCCTACCAAGGACTGAATGCTCTGCTGGATGGGGGACAGAAGTGTGCATAGTCACCGAGGCCTTTGTCTGGGGGGCTGGGGAGAGGGCTGTGGCTCAGAGTCCCCAGATTCGTGCATAATCACACACAGGAATGTGCTGAGAGGGGACGAGGACCTCCCAGCAGAGTGTCTGGTGAGGAAGCTGATTTGGGCTGGGGATCTGGGAAGGCTTCCTGGAGGAGGTGACATATAGCTGAGATTAGAACAGTGGGCTATTCATGAGCTAATGGGTGGGGATGAGCATCTGAGGACGCAAACGGAGCAGCATGCGCTGGGGCCCGTGGCAGAAGGAAGGTGGGCATGTCCTTAGGGGTGGGGAGAGGCCCAATGTGGGCCTGGTGGCCTGAGGCCCCAGCTGTGGCCTTATCCTCAGAGTAGGGGTGCCATGGGAGAACTTCAAGCAGAGGGTGGATGGTCCTGTGCTCTGGGACAGCAGTGTGATGGGGGCCCGGAGGCTGGAAGGATGTGCCAGAGGACAGAGGCTCAAACAAGGATGGGGCGTCAGAGGGCCCCGGGGAGCAGGGGGCAGAGGTCCAGGGGACGGGCTGGGCTGCTGGGCGCTCCCAGAACTCGGGGACCGCCATGCCCCTCGCCGGCCGTGGAGGGGGTACTCCGGTTGCCGGCATGTGAACGCCTGGATCTCGGCTGGGAGGAGTCTTGGGGTCCAGCCTCAGAGGAGCCTTGGGGCCGAGTGATGGATTCGTGGGATGACATGGGTGAGGACGAGGCCGTGGGTGAGCACGGATGGGCTGGGGCCTCACCCAGCCCGCAGGCACCACCCAGGTGAGGGCAGGCGGTGATGGAGCCGTCCGTTACCGGGTGCACGGTCACTGGGAGCGCACCCCAAGGGCCTGGGAGGTGCGGTGACGGGTGCCTCGATGTCCTGGGAGCCGTGACAGCTCAGAATGCCACTCAATGTCCCAGCCTCTCAGCCCAGTGGGAAATTCACAGGCCCCGTGTGAGCTGAGAGGGTCCAGGGCTGGGGCCCAACCTCCGGTGGAACCGCAGGGGCCCTGGCCCCTTCCCTTCCTGCCCGAGTGGCCAGGCTGCTGGCCAGCAGGGAACTTTCGGGGCTCACTCCGCAGGCAGCTCCGATCGCTGGGTTTTTTGGTTTCTCTGAGTGGAGGGCACCCTTGGGGTGAGCCTCGTCCCCTACGAAACTTCCTGTGGCGCTGGTACAAATTATCTCACGCTGGGCATTTGGAAACAACAGAAATCTCTTCCTATGGTTCTGGAGGCCAGAAGCCCGAAGTCAAGGTGCCGGCAGGGCTGTGCTCCCTCCGAGGCTCCAGGGGAGGGTCCTTCCTCCCTTTTCCAGCTCCTGGGGGCTCGGGCGCTCCCGGGCCTGTGGCCGCATCATGCAGCCTCTGCCTGCACGGTGACGGGGGCCTCTCTGCTGTGATGCGTCCTCCCTGCCGTCCTCCATCAGGACCCTGTGAGGCGTTTATGGGCCACCCGCTTAGTCCAGCCTGATCTGCTCATCTCAAAGCCCTCATTCCATCACACTGGCCGCCCCTGTCCCATGGAAGGTGACGGCCCGGGTTCCTTGGTGGGGGCCCCACTCGCCTGCTGCGTCCTCTGCCCACTCAGCAGGCCCGTATGGGTCCGCGCACAGCGCGTGCGGGGAGGCCGTGCACGGAGGCCGTGCACACGGGCCGACGGCGGCACCAGGGCCGCTTTCGGCTTCACAAGGTGACTCTCCCGGGAAACAGAGACATCCGCGGGAAGCCAGCCCGGACCCGTGCTGCTCGGCTGCTGGCGGCCGCCCGCCCCGCCCCCCCGGGAGTGCTGACTCGGCGCCCAGTTCCCCAGCGGAGGCGTCCAGATCCCGTCTCCAGGGGCCACTTCCCTTCTGTGCCTCTTCTAGAACGGTATCCTCGAGGCGAATGCCCCAAATGGGCTTTTCTCTCTTCCAGTGCTAAATAAAGATGTACTTCTGCTTCTCAGCTGACTTCCGCGTTGCTTTCAGGGAACTCAGGTCCTCTGTGAGGGTTGTAATTATTTTGTTCCAGAGGAAACTAAGGCCTATAATTCCGAGGCTGCTGCAGGGGCTCAGGCCCCGCCCCCTCCCCGCCGCGTCCCCAGGTGGGTGCGCCGGAACACAGGCCCGGTGTGTGCACTTGCTCTGCTGGGGTCCCTGGCGGGGGCGGGGACTCCTCCCAGCCGAGGGGAGGGGCTGCGGGCCCCCTGGGCTGGGCCTTCCAGGCCCCGCGCTGCCCCTCCCACTGGTGAGATGCCTTAACCACTCTTGGCCAGGGGGCCCCACCGCCAGCTCCGAGTACTCGTCCCTGTTCCTGTCCTACTTCTTCTACGCTGGACGGAACACCCACCCCAAGGTAGGAGGTCCCAGAGCACACGGGGAAGGGCCCGACCTCTGCACTCCTGCACCAGGGGACTGGGGTGCGACCCCTCCATGGGACGGTGGCCCCTCAGCTGCCCGTCGGGAGGCCCTTCTGTCCTGGTGACCTGATCAGCTCCTTAGCCGTCCTGCAGTAACACTTTGGTCACCTTTAGATGAGGTCTTACAGAACAGACGGACGCGCGTCTGAGTCGGTTCCCAGCACCCTCCGGAGTGACCAGCGTGTCTGTCATAAACATGGTGGACACCTCTCAGTCCAGGCGAATGTCCTCTTTGACGCCGGATCATCCCGTTGTTGGCCACGGGCTCATCGGCTCATGAGTCCGCCTGACGACCACAGGGGTCTCTGGCAGCGGCCTTGCTTTCTGCCAGGACTCGGGATTCTGGGTCACCGTGGGCATTTCTGGCCCAGACCCAGGGTCAGCCGTTTCCCGAGGAGTCCCGGGTCCTCTCAAGGGGACTGGTATCCAGCCGCCATCCTGCCTGGGTGCGAGGGGTGCTGGCTGCTGGAGTCACACTGTTTCCAGGTGGCTTCTTAGCCTTTGCAGTTAACAGACCTTGGAATTTCTTTCAGGAGAAAAGAAATCATGACTTCACACTGATTCTTCTAATTCAGATTTTATACTTCTTCAACTTTTATATTCACATCCCTCTCCCCTTATACTGAAGATCTTGGTTCTTAGTGATGTTAACACAATAATTTTACGTGCAAAAGTTAATATATGTGAAACATTTAATACATGTGGACTCCATCACGTATGTAATCGTCTTAGACAGTGATACCGCCAGCTCGCCCCTGGGCCAGCACCAAGCTTGCTTGCAGGCCTTTGGTCCCCGGGCTCTGGCTCTTGGGGGGGCACGTCAAACTCCTGTTCCAGAGTTATCAAGACAGCGCCACCTCCGCGGTTGTCATGACCTCAGGCACCGTTAGGGTCACTGAGCTCCTTTATTCGTTCCATCTGTAGAGATTCCTTTACATTTTGATTCCGTGCACATTTCCAGGGGGTTCCAAGTCAGCCTGAGCATATCGTCCCGGCCCCTCCGTGCTGACCTCCTCCTGCAGGCCTCCGTTCTGCTGTGTTCGCTTGTCCTTGTGTTTGCAACAGAAGCAGACACGCAGGGCGCCCCTCCCCAGTTCTCGGCTCCGTGTGGCAGAGCTGCAGTGCCCGCCCACTCTGTGCCCAGTGGCCACCTCCTCAGGGACTCTCTCCTGAGCACCCCATGTATGGCCGTGACCCCAAGGAACCCCCAGAGCTTGGGATTCTCCATCCCAGCATCTCTGTTTGTCACGGCTCCTTCACAACCCACTCCTTCGTTCTTTGCTGTTCTGTTTGGGGTCTCCCCTTCGAGGAAGTAAGTTCCTGCACACCCAGACCCACGCGCTGCCTGGCACACGGTGACGCACACAGGGGCCCAGCCTGCTGGGGGCCTGGGCGCGGCCCTCCCCCGCCCTGCCCTGCGCCACGTTCACGGCACTCTGCACGCCGGGCTGCATCGCCGGGAGGGGGCCCATGGAGCCCTGTCCCGCAGGTGGGGAGACTGGCCCCCAGGGAGGCACAGCCAGGGTTTGCTCCCAGGCCAGGCTCTCCCCTGTGCATCCGGCAGCCCCTGGCCCTGGAGAGGCAGAGCCGGATGCCTGACGCGTGCCCCCCCCCCCCCCCGCCCTCAGCACCTCGGGCGAGGGGAGATGCTCCCCAGCTGTGGAGGAAGGGGCCTGGGAGGATGGCCTGGCTCCGGGCGGGTTGGCATCTGCCCCATCATGTCTCTGGGTTAAGAACCCTGAGCTGGAGGTGTCCACACCCGGTCTACACAGCAGATCTGGATGGAGGGGGCAGCGCTGGCTGGAAGGAGGGGCTGCCTGGGCCTCTGGACCAGGAGGTGGGCCATGTGTCAACCCTCTGTGTATCCTGGGGAAATGACGTCAACAACAGCTTTCCAGCGCTCCATCCCGGAGGAGCTGGCATTCCTGGGAACTGTCCCCTTCCCCTCCCTGTGTCTGGGCCAGGGTCTCACCAGACCTGGTGCAGTCTGGGTGTGGCTGAAGGGGCCACGGGACCAAGCGGGTGACTGGGGAGGTGGGTGTTCGGGGGCATGGCCAGCGCCTTGCTGGTCTCCGCTGGGTTGAGGGAGCGGCTTTTCCTGAGCCACGCTGGGTGGCCCGGCGTGCGCGGCCTGTGGAAGGTCGTGCGCCTGCAGGGCTGCCATGGGCCGCCTCCCCAGGTGGCGTCGGCAATGCCAGGCCACAGCTGCCTTCCTTTGCTTCCTTCTTCATGAGGCTCCATGGTTCCCACTTCCAGCGGTGGCTGCTTTGTTTCTTTGCTCATGAGACGCTGATGTCACCGCGTTTCGGAAGGCTGTGGTTTGGGGAACAGGCCTTGTCCGTTCTGGTCTTGTGCTGAGCTCAGCCGGCCTGGTCATCATCCCGCAACCCAGGCCCTGTCGTGGAGGGAGGGGAGCCCCCCCATCCCCCCATCTTCTCAACAGGCCCCCGGTCTGCAGGCAGCTTAGACCCATGAGGGAGCTGACCCCGGGGTGTCTGACCGCCCTGTGTGGGGAATGGGCTGGGGGCCGC